CTATTCTCCCCATACTCAAAATAGTTTTTCTTTTTACCTCTACATTTTGATTCGCCCTTTCTCTGTGTCCTTCCCTGCATACCAAACATTCATCTTTTGTTCTGTACTCAATCAAGTTTCTTTGTAACTCTTTCGAATTTAGTGCGTTGCTAACATCATCTGGTAAAATACTAAATTTTCTATACAGTAGATTATCAACAAAAGTCTCATAAGAAGATGGTAATGAATACAGAACAATCAATATATGATCTTCATTTGCAATCTTAATATCTATATTATTCAGGTCCATAATTAAAAATTAAACTCATCAAGATGTTGTTTTAATAAGTGCTACCTTCACTTATTCTGAAATTGTATAGCCTTTTCTTCAGATAAAGTCAGTTCGTCAGCGATTTTACAGAGTACAACTTTTTCAGTTTCTTCCACGTAGCTGAGGCTGAAATCTCTTTGGCAATATCTCATAGAACATTGTCATTAACACTCATAAAAATTATACATAAGACTCTATCCTGCATACTTGTCTTTTTCGACTCTCTCATACTCTCAGGATATCTTTCTTCAATTCCCTGCAAACCTTGTAGTAACAGGGATGATTTCATTATAATCTTCCACAACTAAAACTTGTACCATCATCAAACTTTTCTATCTTATATTTGGTGGATGTTATCTCGAATTCCTAAATTATGCACCAAAAAATCAACCATTAAAGTGCTACACGTGCCTCCACGCACCTCCACGCTCCTCCATGTGTTGTCACACGCGTGGCTGCCAAAGCTATCATGCATAATCGACCACCTCTTACTGTTACTGGAAAACACTAAAAACGCAGAGAAATGTGTGACTCGACGGATTCGGCATGGATCTAGTGAAAACGTGCCGAAAAATTATTGAAAAAGTCGTAAATCGAGACTCGTACGAACCAAGTGCCGCCACACTGGTTCGTCTTCTCTGACGCACGTTCTCCCTCTCCAACTCTAGTTTTGCGCACAGACGGAGCCGACATTATGGATCTGTCTTTGGGTTTCTCTTCTCCGACCCTCCTCACGCGGACCTAATATGTTTTTCTTCCGGCACCTGCGGACCAATCATTTTCTCCAAGTCGCACAGTCCCTCTCTCGATCTGCTC